GTATGGCGTATACCATATGTTACAATACTCTCCCGGGAATATTTTTTCAATGTCTTTGGCCCAAGACTGGAATACTTCAGCTGATATGCTAAAAAAAAATCAAAGTATGATCATCAACGAATTATAATGATTTATTATTGATGTAAGTAAGTTATATTTCACTTACTGAAACTTATTCATGCTTTCCACATCATCTTCAGTAAAAATTGCTGCCGTCTGCCGATTTTTTTCCCATGCAACTAGAGTACGGCTTAATTTGCATCTTACGTTCTTTGCTAATGTTTTATGGTCACGGTAAAATTTTATAACTGATTTTCCATCTGATGATTTCAGCAAAATTTGATATACTGGCTAAAAGAATATATAATTGCAAATAGTTTTAAATAATTATTGTATTCAAAAAATAATAATAAAGTCAAAGTGAAATATTGATAGACTTACATTAGAAATTATTTCCTGTCTTTTAAAATGATTATTCACGTCCTACAGCAATAAAAAAAATATTTAAATTAACTTTATTTATAAATAAAATTTATGAAATATCAAGTGTTTTCAAATTGCTAAAAAATAATAAATTCAAAGAGGTTTTTTTACTGAACTTACCATGTTAACTGGAAAAAGAATCACAAGATATAAAAAATGACTAAATATGATAGATATAAATTAGGTAAAGTGCTATGTTATATTTTAATGGATTGAATAATAAGATAAAGAATATTAATCACGAATATATTCAATAAAGAATAAAAAAAACGTTAGCTTTAAAATACTTTTTTCAAAAAAAGTTTAGTATTAAAAACAGGACGTTAATGAATCATGTCTTCTATGAACGGATGTTTTTTAATAAAGATAAGCTAAGTAATCTACAGATTTTGATAGAAAAAATGCATATAATAAACCCAATATATCACCAACAAATCATTTATAATAAATTTTTAGTAAATAATTAATAATGTAAACACTAACACTCACAATAAATGATTCGCTGTTTCAAAAATTCCGACGATCTTACTCTTTCGAAGACTTTCAGATAACTGACTGGTCTAGACCTGTCAAAACAACGATCTTCTAGTTGAAAATGCAATAGAGGATAGGCAAAAGATATAAAAATTCTCTTTGTCAAACTGCACTACGATTTGAAGATCCCATGTGTGTAGCAGAGATCGGCCTGACCCTGTCAAAACAAACTTTTTTTTGTTTGAAAGTCATAAAACTTAGGTATTCAAAGTATTAACCGAGATCTTAACATGCTGCCTAAGGTAAAAAGATATGCATCATAACAACTCTGGAACAATGATTAAAAATATATCGATGGAAATGAAATTTATTTATGTGAAATAATAAATATAAATTTTAATAACTAATTCTTTTTTTATTAATTTGAATGAATTGTCAGAACGTTATTAGCATACATGCATTGGTATATTAATATTGTGTATATTACGTTATTGAATTAATGATAAAAATGATAGAAATTTTATACTTACAGACTTGGTTAACCATCATGTAATAAAAATATTTATTATACACAACACTCGTAATTTCCAAAACAACTCGATTACACCCGAACATCATCGAATTCTAAATTGAGTGAAAAATTACTTTCCAAGACCAAGTAAATTTTTCTCGAAGCAACAGGAAATTTTACCAGCAAAAAAAATTTACTGTGCTGTACAGTAAAAACTTCTAAGACGTTACGTAAAAATTCTTAGATAAATATTAAAAAATACTATGTGAAATGTATTTTTTATATCTTCAATTCGTAAATTCTATAGCGACTTGTCACTTATGTCCGGTTTACCGGCGACAGACCCGTAATTTTTATAAGAAATTTTTCTCAGTGTAAAGGCTTATGGACAAAATATTAGAATATGTAATAACTGAGTTGTTCATTTTGATGCAAAAGTGATTCAATGTTTCTTTTTTATTTTTATGTTATAATTTTTATAATATTTCGATTTAATACATGATAATAAATACACTACAGTAATTGGTTCTTAATATGATTTTCACCTTCCAAAACACATGTTCTATCCAGAGAAACAACAGTGTCACCATGTCTTGGTTCAGTTTTGCACCATAGTGTATATCTAGTGAGATTCCTGTATATCTACACAAATTACTGTATGGCTATAGAGATCTCCATTGATCTCGATGATAAGAAAAATTTAATACATCTACAAATATCACGGAAGATCTAAAATAATCGAAACAGATGTACACAGCACAAAGTAGATCTAATTGTGCCAAAAAATAGATCTCAGTAGATCAATGTAGATCTATTTTATTTTTTCCCGGGAAGTTACTTCTTCCATCAAGGTAAAAGGCAAAAAGTCGCAACAGGTAAGTAAGAACACCTAGATCAGTGAACTTTTTCAGCAGAATAATGTGTTCAGTCTTATTATTGAATCGAAGCCATTATCCCTGCAAAAATTAACTATTGCTATGCTGCCAAAGGATTGTAGTGTATCGGAACGATTCCTATGTTTTCTAGAATACATATAATTTTTTCAGTGTAAAATACATAGAATCTGATTACTTATCGTCTGTATAAATTCAGTTTTAGAAAATGGTCGTTGACAAAAAAATTTTCAGATATACGGCTAAAACTAGCTATGAGTAATTTGTAACATATGTTTATTGTTTTGCCAAAACTACGCTTGGAGTTTTTTGGTCTATTTTTGCTTTGTACGTTATACGTATATAAACAAGCGAGATGACGTTTACACCAAACGATTTTTTCGCAACAAAATATGAAACCAGTACAAGTGCACCTTTCCGTATTGAATTCTCTTCTCTTCAGAAACTTTGGTTTTAATAAAATGAACACCATACACTGATAAAAGAATTTATTAAATGTTAGCAATATTTATAAAACAGCTCTGAAATTATTTATTAGAAAAAAAGCATTGGATTTAAATGAATTCGCGGATCTTGTTTCCAACACTGAGAGAAATTTTCAATTATATATTCAGCTATTATTGACTCTTTTTAATAAGGTAATACATATAATGTGTTAAATTCAAATCTTCATTAGTAAAAATATACGATAGTGGAAACATGAGGGCAAAATGAACCTCTTCAAAAAATAATACAAATATATAAAATTTTAGAATTCAAGCATATAAAATAGCGAAAGAGAATGGTCTACTTTCAGAACTACTTGAATTATAAGGAATTCAATTTTTTAATTCATAATTGTTTTCACATCTTTGTTTCTTTATAAATTAATAAAATACTGGAAAAGGCCATCTTACCCGAGTTTTCCCTTAGGTAAAATTAATGAATAGACTATCAAAATATGTTAGCTGTATCATCAAAATATCTTGTATTGAACGCATTCATAACGTTGTATGAAATTCTTCTATTAATGCACCATTGAACGTAAAAAAATTTTTCTATTCTTTTTTCTCTTGTATACATATACAAATTATTGGATAATTATTTTTAACTTCTTAGACTAAAAATCTCGTAAATAACATAGGTTCAATAATGTAGGAAAAAAAATTCTCCTTCATTATTGAATACATTATTTCAACGACTCAAAAACGATTCACCTGATATTGCTTGGAATTAAAATGAAATCATTATAATTTACTCAAAAATGTGACATAATCATAGTTACTATGATAAATATAACTAATTAATCGCAGGGATTTTTTATTAATTATGGATACAATTTTTGAAGAATGTTAATGTTTTTTTTTTCACTAAATGTAAGTGCAAAAATGACAAGCGTACGTTTCGAAATTTATAAGTAAAAATATTTCCATTCAATAGTAAATTTTTAGCTCTTGTAAGTAAACTTGAGATGTAAAAGGTGTCTAAGTAAAAGAATTACTTAGGATACCTCAAAAATTACTTCCCGAGTAAAAATAAGTAGGCCTAAAAGAAGCCCAAAATGAAAAATAAGCCCAATACAGGCCCGATTGAAGCCCAATCTTGACTTAGAGAAATTTTCAGTGCCCAAAACAAGCCCATTACAGGCCTAAATTTTTAAGGAGCCCAATTGAAGCCCAAAAATATTTTCTAGGCCTAAAACGCGCCCAATTCAAGCCCATTTTCTGAGATCATATTCGACAATGATGACAATAAATTATTACAAATATAAATTTGTAGCACCGAAAGTTAATTTGATGATAAGGTTTTATGACAATTTTTTTCTCTTTTCTAGATTTTTAAAATATTTTTGGGCTTGATTTGGACGTGTTTCAGGCCTGCAAATAGTTTTAGGCTTGATTTGGGCGCGTTGTGGGCCTGAAAAATCATTCGGGTTACAACAACCTAAAATTCACTGTTGAACAGAAATATTTTTTTCTTCTAAATTTCAAAGCGTAGGCTTATCATTTTTGCACGGACATTAAGTGAAAAAATTCTCTCCGTGTACAGCAAATATTTTATATCTCATTACACAATACTGACGGTATTATTATGATTCAATTCAAATTACAATCTAATTTTTAATCAATCAGATTTTTTAGGTCAAAATATTATAAGCACGTAAATTAATGTTAAGTTTATAGCTTTGATAGTGTTGATTAAATTTAACATCCCCAACTTCAGTAGAAATTCATCGGAGATTAAACAAACTTAAAAGTAACCTTTGTACTTTACATTCTTAGACTATTCATCAAACCAAGTTTTTTTAGATTTAAAGTAAGAACTTTAAGACTCTTTTAAGTTATGCCATTATGTTCTGAGATTTCTTAATAAAGATTAACATTAAAAATGAATTAAAAAAAAAAAAATAATTTGAAAATTATTTGTTGAATATATTTTTATACTTGTATTGATAATTATTTTAACAAACAATGAATGAATTAAAAATTCATATGATTTTTTAATCATAAATTTATCCCTGAATTAGCGTGTTCTATGATTTCAAAACTCAGCAGAATATATTTTACACCTCACATGGAACAGGATTCACTTGATCCACTTATTCATCCCTCAACTTTTAATGCGAAATTTTTAATAAAATAATAACCGTTTAATTATAGTATTGGCAACAACGTGAGTCCATCCACAAACAAAGTAATTTACCGAAGGGAGTTAATACCATCTGGCATATATGAACCTTCAAAAAAAAAATGTAAAGCACATATCTGAGTGACGTCAGGATCAGAGCAGCGCAAACCTCTTGTTCTTCATCCCGTAAATATGTATATCTCATTCTATCCAATAAGATATAAATGACAAAGATTCTCTTTGTTCTCTGTCTGGCGGAAATTACAAAACTAACCTTATGAAATTTTTTAAAAATATAATTGTCCTTCACAATGATAAAATTATTGATATGGTCATGCTAGTAATTGTAAATATTAAATGTTCCAGACTATCTTGTATATACTAACACACACATACATAAATATAAATAGTTATCAAATAAAAAAGAAGAAATAAAAAATTTTTAGGCGTTTTGTTTTTTTCTAAAGTTTTATTAGCAGTTTTTTTTTCATTTATTAATATCACATGCATTTTTCTTTCAGAATAATTCAAAATTATTTTTATACATTAGCATTGATTCGGAAAGTAATCTTAAAATTAAACTGCGCATCCAGTTTACATTAAAAAATTTTATTTTAAAATCAAATAGAAAAAGTACTTTACTCTAAAATTAAATCTTTTTTTTCTTTTGCTGTTTCTAGAAAATCTAAAGCTCCCTGTCTGTTTACTCTTTTTATTTCCGAAGTCGCTCCATTCTTTTTAACTTCATAGAAACAATCTCCAACATTTACTACTTCAGGCCTAAAACCCGAAGAATCATACAATCATATTAATAATTTCAAATTACTCTTCATAACAATGCATACACAAATAAATACTCACCGATAAGTCTGAACAAAAATCTGTCCACCACTAGTCATTTCTTTGAAGATTCCAAGTAAAATTTCTTGATTTGTAACATCAAGAACTTGATCTATTTCATCACATAACATTAACGATGTTTCATAGCATTTTCTTATAGCTAGGTTCAAAGCTAATGACAAAATAATGTTTTGTCCATCTGATAGTTTATCCAATCTTAGTGTTGGACCATTTTCAAATTCTGTGAACATGATACTGGCTCCAATGAAATCATCTAAGGCCATATTATATTGATGAGCTTCAACAACAGTATAGTCTCGATCGTTAGTCATCAATGTTAATTGTGCACTTGCTGGAGGCATGAATCTTTCAATATAAAATGTCAAATATCTATTAATGTCGAACAATTCTCGATAAATTTGCTGTTGCATTTCATATTCTTGATATTCTTTTTCAGCAGTCATTTGAATTTGATCGTCATCTAATTGTTTTATAGCGGCCTCGGAATTTTGGATCATTTCCTGCATAATATCAAATATTGCCGAAGTATTTTTATTGATATCATTTGATATTTTTTTTAATTTACTATCGACTGTTCGCTGAAAAGCTGACAATTGTTGCATAGTTAATTTTTTAATATTTTCTAATTCAGAATCAGATTTTTCATGTACTTCTTTGGAACCATCATTTCTCTTACGTTGAGCCTCTTTAATTAAATTTTGCATTTCAGATAATTCAGCTTTCAAATGATCCATTTCTATATTATAAACATCCATTTCCATCTGTATCGTCGTGGCTATATTAGATTTATGATGTTTGATAATTTCCTTTTTGTTAATTTCTTCTTGAAGTTGGTCTATTTCTGTTTGTAATTTTTTTAGCTCTTCATTCTTTTTTTTCGATTCTTTTATATTAAATTCTAATTCTGCAAGTTCATCTGTGATTTGATTAATCTCCATTTCTATAGCAACTATTATTTTTGGTATTTGTCTTTGCAATTCATATTTCATTTTTAAAAAAGTTTCTTGTAATACAGTCAGCCCGTTATTTATTTTTTTGTTTAATTCAACAAATTTTTTTTCTTCTTTTTTGCGTAATTCCAATAAATGTTTCGTTGAAACTTCTAATTCTTTATATCTTTGATCCTCTTTAGAAGTCATTTGTTCTTCATCGTAATTATTTAATTTCAATTCTAATTTTTCAATCCTTTCAGTTAATATTTCGATAGAATTTAAAATTTCGTTATGTTCATCATTATCAACTGTGATGTAACATAATTCAGTTTCTAGCATATCAAGTTCATTTTCAAGTAATATTCTTCTTTTTTCATTATCTTCAATCTGCAACTCTAATAAAGTTTTTTGTTCTACAGTTTCTGAAATAGTATTTTTAAAATATGACTCTTGATTAACATACTGTTCTATTTCTTGCTTCTCATATCTGAAATCGTCTTGTTGATCAACCATTAATTTATAAATACTAATTTGATTTCTTTCATTTTCGTTCCAATTTATTGTTTTTGAAACACCATTTGGAAAAAATACGTTGCCTCTAGTAGTAACACAAGTAATTTTATGTTTTTTAGAAATGTTAAAAGCCACTCGATTATTTCTGCATACTAAAACATTTCCGAAAATAAATTTTACTAATTGTTCATAGAAAGGATCATATTCTATTTGTTTTATGAGTGGAAAGGTATCAGGAAATTTAGGTAGATTTTTATTTGAAAATTCCAAAAGATCTAAGCTCATAACATCTAAGTTACAATCACCTTTAACTCTTTTTAAAACTGCGTTAACGTCTTTTTTATAGTCAAACACAAAATCAAATAAGTGTTCACTGGCAACAGCTAGAATAGCTGTTTCAGCATTGTGGCTGCATTCAAAGCAATCTATAACGAAACCATGATACTTTGAAAGCTCAATTTTCTTTTTTGGGTTTTCATTGTTAAATGACTGTAGTGCATGTTCAAGAACACATTTCTTATACATAACATCACATTTCCTCACTAATTGTAATTTCTCACAGTTTTGATTATAACTATTTTCAATTGATTTCAATTTTTCCAATGCTTTTTCTTTTTTTTCTGTAACAGTTTTTAATGCATTTGTCGCGATTCTGATCTTTTTTTGAGATATTTCTAATGATTTTGAATAATTTTGCCGCAAAGTTTTCGAATTTTCTATTTCAGCTTTAATTGATGATATGTTATTATTCAATTTCATCATATTGTTGCTCTTTTCCTTTCGTTGGCGATGATAATTCTTCAAATTTTCTTGTTTTTCTGCAATAGATTTATGAAATTTGTCGATACTTTTGCGAAGTGACTTTTCTCTTTCTTCTCTACTTACTGGCATTTTATCTTTTAATATTTTTAACTTAAGACACTCTAATTCCCACAATTCTTTTTCATAATTTTCTTCTAATTCTTTAATATTAATTGTAACCGAAGATAACTCTGCTTTTAATGACTCAATACTTTCTCTTTCTAGCGTTATATCTTTTTCTAACGATTCCAATTCTTTCTTCCTTTCTTCCAAAATTATTTCTCGTTCTTTATTATTTTTTTGAGTATTCGATATTGATATTGCTAATTCTTTTTTTTGTTTCTTCAATTCTTCTAACTGATTTATAACTTCTTCTTCCTTATCTTTAAGTAATTGTAAAGAATTATTTGCTCCTATTAATTGAGATTCTAATAGATTAAGTTCACTTCTTAATTTCATATATTTCGGTGTTGTGTGTCCTTGATTTTCCAACCAATTCATTAATTTCACTTCCAGTTCTTTTATTCTGTTTTTTGTTTCTATTATTTTTTCCTTTTCCATTCCATAAATAATCAATTCTTTGTTTTTGAGAACTTGTTGAAACACTTGACAAAAATTATACTCCTTTTCCAACTTATCGTAACACTTATTTATCTCTTCTATTGTTTCATTTCTCTTTCCACCTGAAGCATGCAATTTGTCTTCTTTTGATTTTATTGAACTTTTATAATGAATCATTTTGAATAATAAATCTAATCGTTCATTATTAGATGATGTTGCAAACTGAATAACTTCACGTGCCTTTAATATTGTCACATCAATTTCTAAATATTCAACTAATTGCGAGAACTCTTTCCTATACATTTGCCGTTCATTCACAGTGTAAAGATCCATTCCCAGAGTTGTATGTCGTACTATTGAAAATCGGCATGGAAAATGACTGTACTTTCGATCAAAATTATTGAAAAATATTTCTATTTTGATAAAATTTTTATTTTTCTTTTTGGTATTACGACAAATTAATGCATTAAATTGTTCTGTGGTCAAGTTTATGTATTTTTTACCAAGTACAAATTCAATCGCATCTAACACACTCGTTTTCCCAGAACCATGCAATCCAACTAAAAAAAACAATTACTGTAATTATCAATGTATTATACTCAGAGAACGTACCTCATTTTTGAAAAATATTAATCCACTGTACCAAAGGCATTGATTCCAGGAAAAAATTCCCCGAGATACGTAGATGTTCCAAATGCTTTGAAACCTTCAACTATTATCTGATAAAAAAATTCCTTCGTAAATGTATAAATAAGCATAGAAAGAGTTATGGTGAAAATTAGGTATTAACAAGGAAATATTAAATATTACCCCAGTAATAAACATGGCTGTTGAAAGTTTATCCGTTAAGGAATCGTTATAGAAGGCACAGAGATCAGCACTTGTTATTATTTAAGAATTAACATCAAACTAAGCTGAGCGTATTACTGATGTTTAGAGCAATAGAAATTACAGTAGAAAAAGTAAACAAATATGATAGTGGGGAAAGAAGATGATTTGAGCGACAGCTGTCGATTGACTAAGAGTTATCAACAGTAAATGTAAATTATCGATAAAATACCATTATTATAAAAAGTTTCTACAAATCACGTAGATTTATAATAATTTATATAAATCAGCGCATATTTATATGATGCAAATCGAATTCTCTTCAGATCTTTTGATCGAAGTTAATCGAAGTAAATTTAGAGAATAGGAAAAATGTACATCACTGTATTGTATTTTTTCCCAGGTAGTTTTTGTCGCAACTTCAATCACATAGAATTTCAGAAATAAAAACTTTGTAAATAAACAAAATTTTCCGATTTAATGTAGAATGACGTAATTAATAAAAAAAGCTGCATAAAATTTTATTATGTCAAAATAAGTAGTCTATTACATGAAATCCAAAGACTAATCAAATTAATATTGATATTTTCTTATACAGTCTCCACCGCAAATCTCAAGATTTTACGAACGTGTTCAAATAACACGCATAACGTGTGTTTAATGTAAAATGTCAATAAACAAACTATACATTATTTGTAGACATTTTTTACGCGTTTCATAGTGTGTGAAAACTCTATGATTTGTTTACGGCATTTAACATTGAAAAGATTTAGCATGTAAAAAATGTTTACAAGAATAACACACTTAAATTTGCAGTGTACTTTTTTGCGATCTTTATTAATAACCCGTCCGACTGTATTTAAAATGGTCAACATCTTGAATCAAAGATTTAAAAAGCTTTTAAATATCATCGTCAGACTTACGTATTTCTGTTTCCGTTCTATCCCAGATTGCTGTTCATTGTCTGACGTTAAATTTCCCGACGAAAATTTCATATCTCTCTGCTTTAGAAAAATCGAAGATACATAAATACGTAAATAACCAACATATGTTGACATAGATAAGTCTGTCATCACTCTTACGTTGATTTAGCTACTAGGAATGTTTCTAGTAAATACGTATTATTTCCGGGTACAGTGACCCACAATTTAATAGAAATATCTCTAAATTGTTTTTTTCTCATAATAATTCAAAAGAAAAAATTAATTAAAATAATTTTATCGTAATATTTCAGAGCTTTAATTTTCTCATGCAAATTATCAAAAATTCTTTTTTATGTTAAGACTCTTAAAAGTTACAGAGGTCAAGAGATAAAAAAATTTCAATTTTTCTCGATTTTACCCTCAGCATGAAAATAGTCCAACAAGGATGCAATTTAATGAGAAAATCTAACCTCACATTTTGAATCAAGGTTTATTTTATGTAAAATTACATGAAGATTTCAAAAAAACTATTCGCAAGCAAAAAAAATGTACGCGTCATTGAGTTTTTTTGTTATAAACAATTCTTGCCCACTAGAACCTACACATTTTCATTAATAACTTTTCAGTTGTGCAGAAATTAACGATACTTTATAGGACATTTTTTGTTCTTTACCGTCTAACGAAGATTTCTGTTATCTCACTTCTTTTTTTCCGCCTATTTTTTGAGATATTCGATTTCAAAGAATAAAAAAGATAATGCTAACTATTTTACAGTTATCATGCCAATTTGTCGATATTACAGAATTCTTTCCAATCGATCTCGAAACGATTTTTTAGCATAATATTGCAAAATCGTTTTTTTTCCTATTATTTATTGTCAATTAAAGACTTTTATCCAAAATTTTCTTCAGATTTTGTCAATCTTATACTAAGAAATCATTACAATTGTTATGCATGTGAATGACCGTTATTTAAATTAACTCATTGTTAAATAAGAAAGATTTCTTAGTTATTTTTTAAATTAACTATTAAAATGATTATAACCCAAGGACAAGTGGGTCAAAGTTAAACCTCCCACTCAAGACAACTTGCAAACTGACACCAATATTGATGAATCGCTGGATAAAATAAGCCCTGACTGGGTCCAAACTAACCCCGGCTGAGTCCCAGATGCTCGACCAAACTCCTTTCTCAGTAACGACTTCAGCTACATGGAATTCAACGCTGCCTTATACTCAAAAAAAAATATAAAGTCTTCTCCTGGTCCTGATGGGATTGATTTTGAAATTCTCACCAAACTGCCAATCAAATTCCATCTTCTTCTTCTTCTTGATATCTTCAATGGTATGTATCGTACAAACACATATCCTTCTAGCTGGAAAGTCTCATACATACACTTCATCAAGAAATCTGATGGAGCTAGTCTCCGACCCATATCTCTTACCTCGTGCCTCTGTAAATTATTTGAATCATTTGTCAAGTTGAGACTTCTGTGGTGGTCTGAAACTAATCACTGTATCCCTCCTTCACAACATGGATTTCGCAGAGGCAGATCATGCATAGACAATCTGACTAATCTTACACTGACCATCGATGAGGCGTTGGCTGAAAAAAAAGATATCTTGGCGGTCGTCCTAGCTGTGAAGAGTGCTTTCGACAACGTCAACGTAGATCTACTACTTTCCAAACTTGCTAGTATTGGCTGTTCAAGAAACCTGCTCCTATTCATCAAATTCATCTCTCAGGATCGCCTCGTATACACCGCTAACAACTGTCACTCCCCCGCGCTGTTCACAAAGGTGTGCCACAAGGAAGTGGAAAAAATCGTCTTTAGTTCATTTTAATAATAAAAAAATCCGTCCTGGTTCTCCAGGCATTAATATTGGTAACTTTTTCATTCGCTCATCGGAATCTGCTCGCTTCTTGGGGATTATCTTCGACTATCAATTACTTTTTACCTTACAAGTTGACGATGTGCGAAAAAAATGCTTCAAATCTCTGAATATTATTAAATTCTTGTGCGGGACGTGCTGGGGATCTGACTCTGACACTCTCATTATATTATATAAAAGTTTCGTTCGCTCTATTATTGATTATGCTATTTTCTTGTATCTTCCCAAACGCAAAACTGTTGTCACCAAATTAGAGCGCATACAATACGCAGCTATTAAAGCGGCTCTTGGATATCGCTCCAGTACTCCAACTAATATTTTAATTGCAGAATCAAAACTACCTCTGATAAGAGACAGAGCTAGGTTCCTCTGCGACTGCTATCTTGTTAAGGTTCAACAACAATCTTCCAGTGTACGAAAGCATTTTCAAGCACTCAAACTTTTTGAAAAAGAAAAAAGAACGCTCTCGTAAAAACAAAAGAATTATCAGCCACAGTATTGCTTCAATTACGGAACTCAATAAGGAGATAGTGTCTCAGAGTGACTTCAGCATATACTCAGACGGCTATAAATCAACGCTCACGTCAATTCCTTTCAATCTATCTCTTGGCAAAAAGTTACAAGACTCCAGCGAGCCTAACTATTTGTTTGATTCATTTCTCGCCCAACAGAACGCTCTCTCCATATTTACTGATGGCAGTAAGAGTTCCGACTCTCTGGCTACCAGTTACACCTGTATATGCCCTGAAATCAACATTTCCATCTCCTCTAATCTTGACAAAACTGCTTCCATATTCACTGCTGAATGCGCTGGACTCCTCGAGGCTATAAAAATAGCCCGTAACTATCCCCTAAACAACTTTCTTGTCTTCACAGATTCTCTAAGTGCCCTCCAGAGCCTACAGTCCCCCTCAGTTAACATTAAAACCATCCCTCACATCCTTCTAATTCGGAAAATATACCATGAAATCTCGACCAGGAGCTCCAACTCCATACGCTTCTTCTGGATCCCTTCTCATAGGGGTATCCAGGGTAACGAGGATGTGGATGCTCTGGCCAAACTCGCCGCAGATATCTCTCTGTCCTCTTCCGACCCTCTTCCCTTCTCTGATTACTTTCAAACCTTTAAAAGAAATGCTCTACTTACCACTAACGACTCTATGAAGCAGTTAGAACTCACCAAAGGTACAACTTATTTCCAAACCTTTTACAACGACAAACGTAAGCCTTGGTTCTCTCAAAAAAAATTCAAAGACCCCTTATTGTCACCATAAATCGGAGTAGAGCGAATCATCACCACTTGGCCGATTCTTTGTTTCGTATAGGCATAATATCTGACCCCACTTGTAAATGCGGCGAAGAAACGGAGTCGTTGAATCATGTCATATGGCAATGCAAACTTCTCAATACACACAGAGATCGCCTCCTCAAATCCTTAATTAAAATAAAAATGTATCCTCCTCTCTCTGTAGAGTCTATAATAGCAGAGCCTAATATAAGAGCTTGTCATCTCATACACTCTTTTTTGCAATCTTGTAATATTAACGTTTGAATCTATCTTCTTTTATGCTTTGTCATACAGCTCTAACTGCTATGATCGCTCATTTGATTTACCTGTCTCTAATTGTTCATGCTTCATAATATTCTACTTTTGTCATGTACAATTTTGTAAATATTATGTACTGCTTGTATAGCTAATATAAACTTCCTCTGAAGTTTAAAAGCTCAATAGAAAAAAAAAAGTGATTATAACCCGAATAGAATTTATTTTAGGCATGCCTAAATACCTATTGAGCCTTTATTAGGAATTGAATGGGTTGCCGTGAATAAGGCATTCCCAACCTATGCCTGATTAATTTGTTTTTAGGATGAAATAAAATTTGCCCAATTTCGCACTACTCAATAACTTCTCAATTACAACCTTATAAACTTAACTGAAACGATGTTTTAGTTCGTCATTTATTAGGAAATGTTTATTAGGTCCACATTAGGCTAACAAAAATTACATCTAAATTAAGCACATATTACATTACTCTCATTAAAATGTTTGAAGAACGAATCAAAAAATTGTAAGGATGAATTCAAAATAAATTTGTTACAATATAAAAGATCTAAATTAAATTAAGTATTTTCTTTAAATTCCAATAACAAAGTATTTTAATAATATAAATATTTCTAAATATCCTTTTTCCTTTAAATAATAGTTAATTATTTTTATTAAAGCTTAATTGGATTACGTTGACTAGAAATATATTGTAGTTGCAGAAAAAATAAATCATTTAGAAGTATACAAAC